AATGCTTCAGCTATCTCTGGGAATAGTGCAGGTCTTCTGTCTGTGGTATTTATGGTGCTGGGGGCTAAAAAGTTGGACAACTCCTGCCATAGGTGAAGGTTTTACATAAAAAAAAGATGAGCTGGTGGAATATAATGCACTCGTATGTCTTACATTCTCTGTAAAACACTCCATCTTGACGAGTCCAGCAGTAAAATGCTGCAGACACATGAACAGTAGTGACAATCCAATAACATAGTGCAGCACTAATACAGACATTTTTCTGAATTACACATATAGGTACATTATTCTGACATTTCAGATGTGCACTTTTCAGTATTTTGAAATTGCACTGTTGCTATTTCATGGGTCTGAATGCTTCCTCTTCCTCCAACACCACCACTCCCTATAGCTTGCAGCAATCATCATTGCAAATCCCTGGCAAATGACTTGTCCTTGCTGACATGTTGGCTTCCTGTTTGTATGTGAGATCTTTGAAGCTCACAGGTTGTGGAAGGACAAATGGGAAAGGAATATTTGTTCCTTGAGTTTCTTCATAAGGCAACACTCCCCAGACACAGTGCAGATTTACCAGAATACTTCTTCTGCCTGGGAGGAGGCGCTGCCGTAGACGCTAAAGTCAGAGAACAAAAAGTCCGCAAACAGTCCAGATTACATGAAAGACTGCAACATGACTGCCTGCAGCCTTAGCCTGAAAGATGTGCGCTGATACGCATCTGTGGCTGTTTTCCAGTCAGCATGCAATAAATCTTCCTGCACATACAAGGAGATACACGTTTACACTTCTGCCCTGCGTGTAGTTGGTGTTCTCATTGCAAGCAAATGTAAAACAACCAGAGTCATGACAGCCGACGCACAACCTTGACTGCAGAGGTGATCAGAGCTACAGTGTCTCAATCAGTCAGTGATAGAGCTGTGCTGCTTATACATCTAGCTGTGCGGACTTGTACGAGCAGGAACAGTTGACGGGGCACCGACTCATGCTGTGGTCACAACCAGCAACGGCCTGCTACATAATAAATCATCCTGGGTTACAATGCAGCCTTTCTGTGTGGATCAGCGGGCATGGAAAATGTACCGCAAGATAATGCAAAACCTGATATGAGGGATCAAAAATGGAAAACAGAAATCCCATCAAAACCAGTCAAGAATTCTATAAAATAACCCCCAACTTATCAGAGCTGCTCTGTCACAGACTAGATGATGGGAAGATGCTTCTGTTTGTCTGGAACTAAACCCAATCTATATGGTTGTTGTTATGGATCGATATTAAGACCAAAACTCCATAACGAAACTTAATTAATTTGGGTAAACTTCATAAACAAGAGGACAGATTGACTTAAAGTTCAAAAATGTTGTGTTTGTCTACTGTTTGAGCATTTCCCTGCTCAGACTAGAAACCTTACAGATGTAAACATCCTTTGACAGCAGAGAAACGGTTGTTATTACCTGCATTAGCAGGTTCCAGTCTTCTGTTTTGGATTTTTAATCGTTGGATCTGAATTGTTTTTTGAATCTTATGTCATAGCCAACATGTCTCTCTGTCAGCTGTCCACTGGGCAGCTTCTGATTTAGTTTCCTTTCATTCTTCATCTTTCACTTTAAATTTCTTTAAAGGTTCTGAATGTGATATCAATAAAGCTCCAGCATCTTAGTTCAAAACAAACAAGTGTGCTTCAAACCTCCCTGCTCCCTTCATGTTTGCGTTATCACCGGAAAGACTGTGTACAACAAAAAATGATGCAGCGACAAGCATTAGCACACACTAGCTCTGCTAACAGTTTCAAAGGTAGGACCTCACATGCACGAACATGCCTGTGCAGCTGGAATAGCAAAACAAAACATAGATGTTCAGATTATAACTCACATAAAGGGAGTGTGACTTCATTCTTAGCGAAGGATGCCATTACTCCACTATATCTTTACATGGCAGAAGCTGTTTCCTGCAATATTAATGTTCAAAATGTTGTATATTCCACATTTAAATACGTTTCTCCCACTCTTCTCATCCCTTCATCTACTTTCCGGAAATACACAAAACTCAGTTTTTGAAAGTCTCTCGGTGCTATTTACAGTCGCTGCAACACAACTTGCAGGTTTTGAGCCGTGGAGTTACTTTCAAGCTTTCTGCACGGCTATAAAGTGGCATCAAAGTCGTGGTAAAATAACTCACTGCTCACGATTTTCCATTAAGATGACATATGTCTTTCCACTGAACTCTGATTCACACTCTACCCTGGGAAAGTGGCTGCTGCAGTGTTTACAGTCTGCCTGCTAGCTTCTGCAAAAAAAAGAGTGTGTTTGTTTGAAGTTCAGCGCAGCACCAGCGGGTTTGATTGCCAGTCTGTGTTAACGGGATACAATGATGATGACATAACGATGCAATGCTGCAGAGGAGAACAAAACGAGTGATGCAAGAGCCAGAGCGTTACCATTTATCACATTAGCAGGTATGGGAACTGCTGAGACTTTTGCATAAACACTAAAGTCTTGTTATTCACCTGATCTGCATGTATTTGGACTGTAGGAGGAAAACCACATGAACAGAAGATATAAACTCCACACAGAAAAGGCCTCAGAAAACAATTAAATGAACTGAATAAGTGGAAATTGTGCTAAAATAAATAGTTTATGAGCAGATAATTAGCTGAATATACTTACACATCCTGACACTGAGACGCTTGGTTAGTTTTGTAACAATCAACCCTAATCTAATAAAATTAAAGTGTCAAATTCTTTTAAGTAAACTTTACTGGATAATAAATTAAACAGAAAATCTGAAGAACGCAGAATAACAAGTATTGTTTCCAGCTAAAAACGGAGTGGAAGCCAGAGGAAGAGCAGATGCTGATGCTTTTCTTCTGCCAACGTGGCAAAACTTGCAGAAGGGCGAAGGAGAGAATATTTCAGTGAGTGGATCATCCCGTCTTCACACTTAATGCATCCCTAGTGTTGCTGCTGGCAGCGACGCAACCCAGATGAGGGGAGCATTCCAATACGTTGCCCCTCCGCCAGCGCACACCTTCGACGGCAGCATCCAGGATCAGATGCCTCGGCCAATGACAGCAGGCAGGCAGCCCGGGAAGGTAACAGGAGTCATGTGGACGGCTGATGGTGAAACATCAACAGCCGGCACTGATCTCGCTAACATGACTAACAGATGTTTGAAGTCCTCACAATAAATACAGAGACCGAGTCCATTACAGCTGCACTGACCTCAAATTTCTCTCCTAAAATAATACAAGTAATATTACGAATGTCTAAAGATCAGCTGCTTTAGGAAAAAGTCAGTTCATCTAAATTATTAAAAAATACACGCACAGTTCTGAGTTATGATCTAAGTAGCTGTTTGGATCAAGTCCATGGAATCACTGATAGAAATATTGTCTTTAGTGGCAGCACTATCTGAAATATTTCCTGTCTAACATGTCACAACTTCTTGTGCATTTAAATGTTTCTAAATCTAAATTTCCAAATCCAACGTCCTCTCAGTTGTTCGGGCCTTACCGTACCACGTAACAGCAAGTTTGTGGTGTCATTTCCTACCGGAGGGGTTTTTGTTGCACAGTGTACCCCTACGTCTTTCACATTTCCTGTTGCACTGTGCACTGACTGTCCAAGTGAAGGCAAAATGCCAAGACGCTTCCAAGGAAAAGAAGACAGGCCACGGCTGCACAGAGTTAGTGTAAGCAGACAACAGCCGAGTTTAGCTGACTTCTGCTATCAGTTTATTCTTGGAATTACTGGCAAAGTTGTTTGTCATTTTAACCTGTGGATGTTTGACTATGCTGGTCTTCACTAATGAGACAGGAAAGACAACAGCTATGTTACATTCACACACTGATTTACATCCCTGATTTACTGCAAAATGCTCACATTAAGTGTTTTTGTACAACAGATATGTAACATTGCTGCTTCACAAGTCTGTTAAAGTGACAGTATATTACTACTTAGACATGTGTTGCTTTTATGATGACGGAGAGAGCCGCAGTATGTAATATTTGTCATATACACAAGAGTAGATGGTACATGAAGTGATCTATAATATAAAAGAATTACAAAATAAACAAATATTAATTTTACGAATAGCAAGTCCAAATATATCATAACCTGATTTATTTACATTTTTTGAAATTTTTAATATTGAAAATTATTGGAAATTTCACTTATGTATGACGATATTCTAACAACCACTTTTACAATAGCAAAAGTAATTAATAAATTTACTGCTGTTGTGCATAACTGTGCAAACTCTCTTTAACAACACTCATGTGGATCCTGCGGGTGTCTGATGCTGCAGAAATCTGGCGTGTTACAGTTACTTTTATAGACATTTCAATTTGTAACAGATTGATTTTTACATGCAAACTGTGTATTTTGTGCTCTCTGTGATCTTTTTTGAACCAATATTGGTGCTGAAATGTGGAGAAAGTCTTCAGCAAAGTACTTTCCGTTGTAACTTTTACAGAAACGCGGCCATGGTACTCACTGAGACTTGAAGACAACACATTCAGATGTTGTCAGATTAATGATTAGAAGCACATCTAAAAGGGGATTTATAGAGTCCTGTTGTGCTAATAAAGAATACCGCTGAGGTGGACAACGTACAGCTGTAGTCAGTCAAGAAAAGATTGGCTTTTGAGTTGATTTTAGCCAATCTGGTTCTGAATTGGGTTGTGTTTTTTAAGTGATGTAGCAAGTAGCATTAGAGACGCCAACTGGTGCTCTTGGAAATAGCAATTACATTGCAAATAAGGTATTTAATGTGGCATGGTGGTATTCTTGTCTTCACAGATGTTTAATCTGTCTTCATATTAAATGTCCGACAGTGGCAGTAAACCTGGACACTTCTCAATTGTTTTCTTCTCGAGGGGTTAAAACCATTCTGGTATTCGTTTCATGGCTCCATCACTCTACCATTTTTCTCTATTTTTGACCTTTCAAGACTAAACAACTGATAAAATGATTGTGGGACATGAAAGTGGTGGTCCAGTACTCACCAAGGGTCCTAAAGGGCCTCTGCTGGGGCACCAAAGAGAAGAATCCGGGCTTCAGGGCGTTCGTGATGATTACATCAAAAAGCTCCTCGAAATCCTTCCTGTAACAGCCAGACAAACAACATTAGCCACAGCGTCAGGCGCCTGAAGGACAATGTCTGGACAGCTTCCAAATACACTGGACCAGCACACGTAGCGAAGCTGAACAGTTTGTACAGATGATGGAGGCAATAAACAGTGCGTATGCATACATCACTGTGGAAGGAATACTTAGACGGATAAAGTAAACACTCTGAGAGGGCAGTATACAGTCCCACAGGCCTACTGTCAGGAAGACAAGTGATAGTGACGGTGCACGGTGTCACCAAGTAAACCTACAGTACTGTATGCGTAAGAAGAGTCTTCCTTATAAGGTGAGAATCAAACAGCAGCCTTAAAAAAAGAACGACTTCTTCCCGAGGAAATATGTAAACCAGTCAGTTTGATGTATGAAGGTGTGTGCAGCCAACAAGTGTTGCAAGCTGTTAATGCTCTATAATAAAAACAGATTACTATATGTGATCAAAAATCCCCTTATTTAAAATGATAGGGTCCAGTTTTGTTATGGCAACTTTAAGAGCTCATTTAGAACTTCTGATATAATATTAAGACTAAGTCGACTTAGCCAGGCATCCGAATATTTGCAGGATTTTTGCTGGTTTTTGCTAATTTTGGTCGATTGTTGATATCAATATATGCACATATTTCCTACACCTAATTGCATGGAATATTAGCGCTATTGTAGTGGAGTTAACATATTAATAGGGCTACTCTTGATAACCCTAAAACATAAATTCTTTTGTTTCTCCACTGCTGTAGTAAAAGTGTTCCAGACTGTTGCTTTTAAAGACACCCTGCAATAAAAATCCTTTTGGTGTTTTTCCTTGTTAACATGTCCACATGACATTTTTCATTAGATTGGATACATACAATAAGTAAAATAAGAAGTCAGTAACATGGCTGTGTGATATATTTAGCATGCATTAGGTGCCTGAATTATATTATTTACGTTATAATCCCGATATGGCCTTATATGAATTCTAATATTGCCTTAAATGAACTCTTGCAGTGCCATTAAACTCTGGAAACATCGCTTGTGTAACACTGACATTGTGCATAAATTTTATCTTTCCAGGATTTGTTTTTACCAGAAAACAATGAACCCCGACTCTCAGCCTCATCATGTCCACCTTGAAACAGAGGCTTATCAATGTCACTTTCAGAAATACGTATTCAGAAAGCCAGTGAAACAAACCTAAGGAACCAACGCTGTCTGCTTTGGGGGTGGGACTTTCTGTCTTTTTATCCCAGCTGTATTACCCCAATGTTACAAACTGACACTGTGTCACATAAAGCAGTTGTAGGTGAGCCGGTGTGCTCGGGCTGCACTGAGTAGCGCCGAGGCTTGTGGAGAAAGCAGCAGGGACGTCACAGATCTGCACATTTTGAAGGAAGCAATGGTGTAGAGCTACAGCTAAACCATTTTATGCCAAAAAGGGACTATTTTCATGGAAACAACTTTGAAATATATAACTTTGACACACAGAGATGAGTTTTTAGAGTTTTAATTCATGACTGGAGAGGACACTTGAAGGTCAATCTTAACTTAAGCCAAATTCAAAGCAGTTCCTTTAAGTGACTGTACAAAAAAATTGTGAGATGAGGTAGCAGCTCCCATCTTCAGTTTGTATATTATAGCAATAAATATTAAATGAAACAAAATTGTTCTACTGAATCTAAAGTAAAGTTTTGCAACATAGTAATGGCTAACTAAGCAAAAATCTAAAGTTTAGGTAACATCATAGAACACTTAATCCTTACTTATAATTAAAAATTCTCCACTCAAAAGCTTGATTGACACGATAGCGCACAGCCCCACAACTGTCATTACATTCAGACGTTCAAATGTTGCTAATCTTCACTTCAAATCTGTGAATTAATAGCTAAATCCAATAATCTCTCTCATTTGAAAAAATCCAAACTATTCAAACTTTGGCAGAACCAAGTGTGTTTATGTGGAGGCTTGTAGCTAATAGTTAGAAGTTGTTTGAGAAAATAGGCTTTGGGGGCCTCTAAATTAAACACGCTGACCGTGGCTGTTTACACTCTGGAACGGACAGACGATATTTACACTCTGCTCACGCACTTCGTCATCTGTTCCACATTTATTTTAAGACATAGAAAAAGAAACTGCTTTTCTTCCTTGACAAGGAGGGTCAAAAATATCTGAATAGTGCTCTAAGAAATAGCTGAGTAATGGTCTTATAAAGTGACGTGAAAGGCTCTGCCTTCGCCTCGCAAGACAGTTTGTACTGTCCCTTAGTTCTGACTTATAATTTCAATTCTGAGATAAGATAGTTTTGACGTTTTTTTAATTAAAGATACCCGCACAAAGGGGCAGATATAGTTATCTGGTGGTCCAGAGATTCGGGTACCAATTATGAACCGCAAAGTCTCTGATTCGTGTTTGTCTTGGAGCCTTTGTTGCATTTTAATCCCTGTTTCTCTTCCCTCATTTAATTTCTTTCTCAACTGTCTCGACTGAAGGAACCAG